GCAAAAGAATTTTGCCTTGATGAGATCCATGGACCAGAAGATCAAGAAAATGGCTCAGAAAATTGATTCCGAGTCAGAAGTGGTTCTCAGAAAGAAGCTGGGTGGACAAACTGCCTTGAAGGAGATATTGAAGATCCAGAGGATGTATGAGAAGCTTCACAAGCAGCAGGAGGAAAAGGTGTGCAGTTTTAGTCAAGGTTTTGAATGTTTTCTAGATAATCTTTTTCAAAAGGTCGAGTGTCTTTTAATCCTTGCTTGTGATGCATGAAGTGAACTAAGAAAGATCCTGATTCTTCTCTGAAAAACATGCACTTGAACCTCTTCAAATCCATGTGACCTGCATACAAAATCCACTTGGAGATTTCAATTTGGGGGAACTCCCACTCCTCTGCAAAACTATCTTATAAAGAAGTTTACATGATGCTGATCTTGGAAGAAAGGATTCATGTGTCCAATTATTCTTGCTTTTCATAAAGCATCAAGTTGTTACATTTCATTGTTTTTCTTCCCTGTGACAAATATGAGCCTAAATGTCTCCAAAAAATATGGGCTTTGAAAAATTTGCCATGGGGAGGTATTCAACTTGAGGAGGTTTGAGTTGTTGAGGTCAAACTGTTCTAAAAAGTTGACTGCATTTTCAAATAGTTTTGCTAAAGGCTCCATGCCTGAACCTTTTTTAAATTGATGTCGAAAACTAATGAAAGCCATGGCTTTGGGATAATTCTGCTATGTACTTAGCACCTGACCATAAGTTTTTTGTTATTTTGTTAACAAAAAAAAAATTTTTTTTTTTTTTTGGCGTTATTGCCCCAGGAATCAATCATTGAGAAGAAGGGGTGTGAAGCACAGGTGCAACCAGTCTGTTGTAGTATGATTCGACAGTCATATTTCTGAGACTTCTTTGAGTGGCATCGGGGTGTCCCCCCTCCAAGTAAATTTACTCACTAAAGTTAGGCGACACCTATGTGTTGGCCGAATAAATCAAGACGCCTCAGACAATTGACGTTAAAGAGTGAAACAGGTACGAATCTCTTCGCATTTCTTTTGCAGGTCCAGTTGGCTGTTCAAAACTACGAATTGGCAGACAAGCACATCAGACACCTGGATGCCGACCTGAGCCGATTCGACTGCCGCGACAGCGACAAAGACAAGAAACCCTCAGCTGCCACCAGCAAAAAGAGTTCTTCCAGTAGCAAGAGCAAGAAGAAGCGAAGAGCGGATTCGAGTTCGGACGAGAGGCCCAGCAAAACTGCGGGTTCCCCCGAACCTCCGGAACCCGGGCTCATTCCGGGTATTGAGTTGGCCAAGACTGCAGGGGAGGTGTTTGACATGCCCGTGGATCCGAATGAGCCGACTTATTGCCTGTGTCAGCAGGTGTCTTATGGGGACATGATTGGTTGCGACAACCAGGATTGTCCCATTGAGTGGTTTCATTTTCCGTGTGTGGGGTTGAAGGCGAAGCCCAAGGGCAACTGGTATTGTCCCAAGTGCAGTGAGGAGAGGAAAAGGAAGAAGTAGTATGTTGTGCAGGTTTTGGGGGTTTTTTTTTTTATGGGACTGTACCTTTTTCTGGCACCTCACTGTTGCTGCTTCAATCCTGGCAACCTCAGTTCACTTCCCCATTGGGCTCATCCTGTCACAATGGAAATAAGGTCTTTCTGAATGCTTCTGTGACATCATGAAGATGTCACCTCTATCCTAGAAAATGCTTAAGGTGCTTAGCCACATTTTGTGGGAATCATGTTCAAAATTTTAGAAAGATTTAAAAACATTTGAATGTTGGTTACATTTTCAAAGTCATCTGGTATTCTAACTGGGCTGTAGCTTAAGAGCTAACTTGTATACATATTTTCCAGAAAATAGCAATACAGTAATTAAAGAGGGTTGCTGTCTTGCTAAAGGTCCACGGATAATCTTGTACTTGTGCTTGATCTATCTGGAGTGGAATCCTGAAAATGCAAATAAATTAATCCTCAGACTGGCTGTTGTCTTAAGATTTGTGGAATATCATACTGATTTTGTCTCAACCAATGGTATCTTATTTAATCTCCCTCTGGAAAAGAAAACCTTGCATGTCTGCTTTTCTTTTAATATTTTGATGGAAGATTTATCATTTTGCTGGAAGTGGGGTTGCCATTTTTGAAGGGGTAAACGTGCATTATGGGTGAAGCAAAAGGAAAACCCAGTTTTTCAAATCCAAATGAATGTGCTCTGTGTGTGTTCGAGATTGATTTAAATCGCTGACAATCATTTATTCCATTTCGGCGAGAATCTATTTGATGTGTATTGTTGAGTGTATTGAAGACCTTACCAAAAAAAAAAGTCCTTCTCGAAGTGAGCTGTTGTTTTAAAAATGTGATAGTAAAGATTTTTTTTGTGGAGCGATTGAAAAGATAAATGTCATGAAATAAGGCCGTTACTCTTGACCTTAATGTGACCTCCGTTTCATTTCTTTTTTTATTTTTCCGTCCATTTGATTTGTGCGTTTTTTGACTATGGGCCCCCGGAAGACAGCCTTGGACCACGCCTGATTCTAGATTCCGGTTTCGAATTGTTTCAATCCGAATAGGAGTTCATTCCACGCTGGAGAATGTTGGGCGTGGTTTTGTGGTTGTCTCGCCTGCTGTGCCTGGCGGCGGAAAAGTCGCACTCTTCCTGGATTTTTTTTCACGATTTGCAAACATGGAATGTGGTACTGTTTTTTGACGGCACTTTTTTTCAGATATAGATGGTGTTTGGAGAAGAAACGTCAGCAAATGAATGTGAAGTTGTTATTTGCTAGTTGCTGTAACCGACTTTCTGTTCCAGAAGACCGGATGGATGTCGCATGGAGTAGAAGTGGGACGTCTGAGCGCGATTTGTGAACTAGATGTCGCTTTAGATCTAACAACATGCTTAGTTGTTAGACTAACTTATTTACCCTGACGACAGCTGCGTTTCTGTGAGTTTTTCCTCTTCGAAGTATTGTAAATGCACATACAGCACCTTCACCAGGTGAGAAGAGAAAACTTCTCTTGGGTGACTAATTAGGATTCAGTTTATTTTGAGTCAGTTGGAAGAGTGGTGGATATACTCAATTTGAAGTTGACAAAGTAGGTGATATGCTGCAATATATGTCTGCCCTTCTTAAGGATTAAATGGAATTTGTCTTTGTTGCTGACTAAACTCTTAAACCAGTAATATTTCATTTGTTATTCATCATATAGGTATGTGCTGTTTTCAACAAGTCACCAGCTGACTGTGTCTAGATGTCACTTTGTGCTGTAGGAAGATCCTTGTGGCCGGCTACTGTGCTTAGTCCTGATCTGGAAAGTTTTCTTCAAAGTAAAATTTTGTGAGAAAATAAGTTAGCATGAAACCTATACACCTACAGTAGGAATTGTAATGGGTTTTGATGTATTTCTTCAACATTTTGTGGTGGTAACTATACACAGTGGGTAGATTTTGTCAAATTCAGGATATGGTCTCCGGATGTCCTCGCAACTGCCGTCAGGGAGTGCAAGACATAGATGTCGCTGTAATCAAGGGTGAGCTTGGAAATGCACTAGCGTGTTCCATCTCTGTGCATGATCCCACTAGATGTCGCTCGCTGTAAGGGTGGGGTTCCCGAGTGCTTACCCGTGTTATTATTGTTCCGTGATGGTGATTAATGCCCCGCGGCGTGTGTCCTAGACGGGCTGGAAACGGCCTTGCTCCTGATTTTCTCCGCGGGCACCGACTCTCAAAAGCATTCGAGACAGACAGCATGTATACTCACAGAGAGAGAGGTGGTCTGCTCTGGGTCCAGTTGGTAACACTCTCTTCTTCTATAATGGGGCGTGGACCCAACATGCAGCAAAGATAGCTGACCGCTGCTTTGTTCTTATTTTATTTCATGAAATATATCCCCTTGATGGTTTCGTTTCGCCCCGCGGGAAGGCGAAGCTCTGGCGCGAATTCCGCAAGTCCAGACAAGGTTGCGTGTGTACGCTTTTATATATTGTACTGTACTTCACTGTACTGTACTGTACTGTACATGAATGTTGCTTTTTTTGTTCATGAAGGGACGAGGGATTGGGCGGTGGGGACAGCTGGGTGCCGGCCAACTGCGCGGTAACCAACTGAGCGTGATAATATACGGTATATATGTTGACTTAATTATGATGGTGCTGATTTGGAAGAAAAGTCTGTGGCTTGTTTGTGAATACAGTACTTGATTTTTGGGCGGAATATTTTCATTTTGTGCAGAACCGCAATTTAATTTAAAAGCTGGAAGGATTGCTTCCATTTTTGACACCTATCTTTGACTATCTTTCTTATTTTTAAAATACCAAATGCGGTAAAGCCAAATTTTTAGCTTTAGATTTGAAGTCATTTTGGTTGAAGGAGGAATAGCAGAAACGTGAGTGCATATATTTATTGATGAACCCCTGGAACAAATCATTTGTGTATGGACCTTGTCATAAGTAAAACTTATTTTAAAGTTGAAAACCTCCATTTTTATCATTTTCCAGTCACTCCCTGGCTGATATCTCAAAGTATAATGACACTGAACCACAATTTTTGGGTCAGACCTCCTGTAGTTAATTCCTTGCCAGGTATTTTTTTTTGTTTTTAAATTGATGATGAATTTAAGAACACCTGCTTCAGAAAAACAAAACAGATGCAAATTATCACTTGTTTGCTATCATATTGAGGGACCAGACATCTTCCCGCATGTGTAAGGACATCTATGAATAATGAACAATTTTACCAGCTTGGACAGGAAATAGTTTTTTTAATTAACCAATCGAAATGAAGCCAATTTCCCCTTATTAAAGATTTTTTTTTAGTTCTGTACTGTACTTAGCAATTTGACTTATGGAGGTTAGGAGAATGTGGTGATGAAATGCTGTTGTTGCTGCACAAAATTTATGTTAAATTCGGAAAATTTGTGTATGTGCAAGCAAACCATTTGGTAAACGAAAGGCGCTGAATTTGGTTGCGCTCAGTTGGTCACCGCTGAGTTGGACGGTCATACACACACACACGCCAACACAACGGTTCTTGCTTTTATCGTTCATCTGTCTTTCTTTCCCCACTTTCAAGTTTTTTCTCATCTGTTCTTNGGTTTAAAAATGCAGTATTACACATACACTATATGACTCACTATGTTGAGTTTTGTATGTGGTATTGATGCAGTTCTTTATTGCTGGGTCTTTATTATTATATAGCTGTATTAATAACAGGAAAAGTAACAATTCAATTTGGTTTTGATCTACATAGCTGAAGCCAAAATCCATGTAAGCTGCTGATGATGAAAGCAAGACTGTGTGATGTGTCCAAATATTCAAGACACCAGCAGTATGTTCTTGCAACATGGTATAGTGTATTGTACTGCACAAGTATGAAGTAAATTACTTTTTTGTCACTTGAATGAAACAAACCAAGCACAACCAGAAACAATTCTGTAAAAAGACTTATTTTGACTACAGTGTAGAGACTTTAAACCAAACCTCCCCTCTCCTACACCACTCATAATTTGGCACTTGACACAGTGAAGTATATGTTCAAAAATCTGATATATGCTGGTTTATGGGATAGATTGAAATGAAGTATACAAGGATTAAAACAGCATATTTTAACTTTGATTTCTTTTATGTAGCTTTGTCTCTTATAAAAGTAACAGAATTCTCTGTAGCCTATTAATTCTATATAAACAGGCTCATTTGGCCTGCAGTATATAGAGACTTCAAATTAAACCTCTTTCTCATGCAACACCCTGAATTTGGAAGTAAATGTGCCAAGGCAAAAATAAGGACACTAAATTGTGGTACTGTACTTACATACTGCACCACTGTGCCATATCCCATGACAAAAGGATCACCTCAAGTCAGTCAATCAGTGCGCACTGGCCCCGCCTTAACACTGCAGGGGGTTTTTTATGCTTCTATTTTATTACAATTTTAAAAATTTTCATCACAAGGACAGGAGAGAGGTTGGTTGCGTGGCTAGTTGTCGAGTTGCTCAACCGGTGGCGCGCAAGGCGGCGCGCGACCAAAACCTGTCTTCCAGTCAGCCTTCAGTTGGCATCCAGCCTCCGTCCAGGTCACACGTCCATCACACAGGCTCTCTGACGAAATAACGTGTGTAGCAGTGTGTCGCTTTCTGCAGAATTTGCGTGTCATTAGTTCAGCGATCATATATTGTATACTCGAAGTTGAACTTGCTTGCGTTTCTTTTTTCTTGTGCATGTGAAGCAGGACGGCGGAGACCTCGAGTTGAATTTTCGCAGCAGTGTTACTTAAGTTTTTGGACGATCGCTGGCGGGACGACAGAAACGGAAGTGACTTATTCGGAAAGTGATGCGGGGCAGTGATAATAACAATTTGCGTCTGTGCTGACCGTTGCTGGGAGATTATTCTTCTCTTCCTTCCTTCTTTTCATTGGACACCGGATTTCCTGGCCGGAAGAAGTAAAAAGCGGCGACGAAAGGTAAGTTCGTTCGTTCGTTGGGGTGTGAGAATTGCGCTTTTGCTGCTCGGTCGAGATGCTTGTCTTGTCTTGGATCATATCANAAAAAACAGATAATGAAAAACCTAAAATTGTTTTTGAACTTGATGATAAGAAAATATAATAGTTTCAACAATGCCAGGAATTTATGAATTACACAATGTTTTGTACAGCATTTATTTTGCCTTTTTTCCATTGTGGCCCTCATAATGCTTTTCTATTTCAATGTGGCCCTTGGCCACTTCTGAGTTGGGCACCACACCACATGTAGTTGAACTCGTTTTACGTACTGTAGTGAATTGGATACGTACTTTCGTAAACGTATTACCTCCGTTATGTAAATACAGTAGTACCTATTTTTGTGTCTTAATTTTTAGTATGTCTTTATTAAATTAAGCATACACACTTTGTCTTGTGCTTGTTTTACATCAGAAAATGGTTATTTTACACATTTGAATTGATCAAAAGGGACAAATGCACATCCGATTGGCGAAGTTTTCATCAAGGGCAAAGAAAACAGTCAAACATTTAGAAAATCCAGAAATATGTACAACTGCACATCTTGACTAAAACCAAGAGGTAATGCAAAATAACTAAGACTTTTTAAATTAAAAAAAAACCTCAACGCCTTTCTTTTCAATCAAGCCACTGACACTTTTCCCAACCAAGTTGCATTAAACTCAAAAAATTATACTCCTTCACACAAAACCTATCGCAAAATACTCCAGACTTTCACGCGCACATTTGCATCATCCCAATCTACAGAAATAAAAAATTCAGAAATGCGAAATCGTTTCCTGGTTCTTTCAAGGCAAAGAAGAAAATCTTTCAAAATGGGGGGAAAAAATACGAAGACATTGCTTCGCTCTCGTGGACGGGACAAACAAGGTCGAAAGGTTTCCAGAGACTTTCGCAACCTCATGGTCGACCCAACGCTCACTATTCTTCCTCCTCGGGCTCTCCATTGGATTCTTATTCCAAAAACCCCACTTACACACACTACATTAAAACACACATTTTCTCAACAAGAATTTGAATCACGGATTCCGAAAACACAGAGAACAGTTGGAAAATTTGCGTATTTGCTGGACCATAATCAGTTACACGGGGAGAATCGTAGATGTCGCTAGCACAGGAAAATCCTTCTGCCGAAGCACAGTAATTACGGTACGCCGTACGGTACCGATGTAACAAGACCACAACCTTTCAGAAAGCGGATCGGATTTCTTTCAAAACAAACTTATCAACCAAAATGGGAATTGTCCCCTAATAATTGACGGAAGAATCCTC